GAATAGAATATCATTCTTTGATAGCTGGGATATTGAAAGAAAAGAAAATATGATAAACATCATAGCAGGAGATTTAAATACAAATCTAAACTCAGATATTAACAGAATGAGTCAAGCAAATATCTAAAATAATTTCTTAAGGGATTTGCTTAGAAATATCACAAAAAATTTTATTGATTCTACATCTTATTCAAACCAAAATCCATTTTTCACTTTTTATCAGAAAACCAGAAACAACTAATTAATAGCAACATGACTCAACTACATCTTTATAGATGAAAATTATAGTTATCTAAAATCAGAAACCCAAACAAAGTTTGAAAACTTAGACTACCTTTTGGTAAAATATATACTAAATCTAAAACAAAAATCTAGACACTCAGCTCATTTGAGATTTGATGCAGCTTTCTTCAAGAATAATCTCCTAAAGAACAAAGTTCTAGATGAGATTAAAGAGGTTGAAATAGCAACAAAATAGGATATATATAAGATTTATATTAAATTAATTATCAAGATATTTAAAAAGCCTAAAGCTCCTGAAGATAAAATTAAAAGACTAAACAAAAAGATTAGTTAAACAAAAGAAGTAATAGCAAAAAATCCAAACAGAATATATTTTTATACTGCTTTAGATACATTAGATTCACAAATTAAACAGAGCTAACAGATCTAGCAAATAGATAGCAACAATACTTAAAAGCTAAGTGAATAAAAATAGAAGAGAAATCACTAAATATTTCTACACTTGTTATAAAAGTAGAAATTCAAGCTCTGCTCTTGAAGAAATTCAAATCTCTCATCGCAAATACAAAATAATAAGAAAGAAGTACTTAACTATATTAAAGAACAATACACTTTAATTTATAGTAAAGAAGAAATTAACCAAAGAATAGCAAAGCAAATTACTGAAGACCTCCCACAAACTTCATTACAAATGAATAGCAAATTAGTAGAATATATCTCACAAGAAGAAATTATGGAAACAATTAAAAAGCTACCAAATAACAAATTTCCAGGTTTAGACAGCCTCACATATGAGTTCTACAAACTCATAGAAGAACACATCACTCCAGCTCTAGAATTAATTTTCAACTAAATTTTAGATACAGGAATAATACCTCCTTCATAATACAAGAATCTAATTACATTAATACCAAAGAAATTAAAAAAACTCTATGATATAAACAACTGGAGACCTATATCTTTAGTAAACTATGATGTAAAAATTTTTATAAAGATTATTGCAAATAGGCTAAACTCAATCTGTGAAACAATAGTCCTTTAACACCAACAAGGTTTTATCACAAAAAGACTAATCACAGATATAGCTTTAGATATCCTCACAATTCTAAGAAATCAAAAAGATGAATCTAAAAACTATTGGATACTTTTTGTAGACTAGTAAAAAGCATTTGACAGAATAAGCTATGAATTTCTACAAATTGTCTTAAGGAAAATGAACTTTAATGAGAAATTTAGAGACTTAGTAGAAAACCTCTTCAATAGACAAGAAGCCTATATTACTAATGCAGGACATATATCAAATGCTTTCAGAGTAGAAAGAGGAGTTAGATAGAGAGATCCTCTTTCTCTATTACTATATATACTTACATTTGAACTACTACTTAACTTAATAGACAAAGAGATTACTAGTATCAAAGTCAATAATCATTACTTTAAATATACAATATATGCTGATAACCTGATAATTGGTATTGGATTTTTCTCAGATTGGACAATAGTTCTAAATCTATTAGATAAATATGAAGAAGCCTTTAATTCAAGAATTAACAAGCAAAAAACTTGTTTGATACCTCTTACTAATATAGCTAGAAGATTAGAACTTCTAGAAGAAGCCCAATTCAAAAAACTAAAAGAACAAGATTTTGTCACAGTTCTGAGCTATAGTATAAAAAATAATAGTTTACCTAAACAGAATCTGTGATATAAAATGATAAGCAAGCTTAAACTTAGCTTAGAAAAACTTACCTATAGAAACCTCTCACTTAAAGAAAGAATTCTACTAGCAAATTCCTTGATTTTCTTAAAAATCTGATATATAGCTTACTACTATCTAAAAAAAATAAATAGTGGAAATTAATAGGCTTGTTACTCTATAGATCAAAGGTAACTCTAAAATATTACTAAAATATTCTAATTTTCAGCTTCTCTATGACCAAGAAGGTCTGCAAGCACTAATAGTTAGCAACCTGCTAGAAGCAAAACTTATATCAATCTAGCTAAAACTAATCTTAAGTGATCTCTTATAGGCAAAAATTGAAAGAAAGAAAATCTCTTGCTCACTATTTCAGAAAAGAAATATTTCAATAGAAGAAATATTACTCGCTCAACCTATTAGGTTTAAAGCCTAGCCAACTGACTAGAAACTATATCTATTAGTATAAAAAAAGGTCAGAGAAAAGACTATAACAGAATCTAAATAGCTTTGGAATCTAGCAGATTTAGAAATTGATAAGAAAAAAACCTCTGAAGTTACTATAAGGTTTATAGTAGAACTTCTAAAAAAACATAGTTTCAAACAAGTTACTCAAATTAAGAATACAGATTGAATATATGCCTGAATCCTCCAAAAAGCAATTTTAAACAAAAAAAAGGATATATTCTGATGACTTTTTCATAGAGCTCTGTTATTAGGTTACAGACTCTAACACTTTATAACAACAGAATCAGGAGAATATCTTTGGTACACAGATCAAATACAAACAATTAAACATCTAGCTACAGATTGTAAAATTAGCAAAATTATTTGAACAGAAGCCTATAAGTTCTTAAGAACAGAGCAAACAAAAACTATACCATCCTCTACTGAAAGAATCTTTCTTACCAACTATACAGGAAATATAAAAACTTATAATACACTTTTATGAATACATACACATACAGTTTATGAAATCTGGTGTTGTCATGCAGCTTATAAATGAGGTAATATAAAACACTCAGAACAAACAATAGCAGCTCTAACAAAAAACAGAATTTCCAAAGAAATTAATTTACTTTGTGACAAAAATTTCACGAAACCTATCTATAAAAAAATTTGTAAATATTTAGTTTAGTCTCTTTAATATGTAAATATTATATTTATAGTTATTAATAAAAAGAGTGCCACACGCACCTCGGATTTTATAATCTGAGATAGTTAAAAAAAAAAAAAGAATTAAAATTTGATATTTCGTGTATGTACTTTCTATAAAAAATATTTATTAATTCCGTTGGTCACATACCTAAAATTATGTGCAATTAAAATATGCTCAAATTTAACTTACCTATGTAACATAATAAATAAATATGATGAAAATTTAAACATTTAATGCATTTCATAAGTACAGTAAACCTCTTTTTTTCTTGTGTATAAAGAATTGTTAGTTTGCCAATTAGAAATATCATTAGATCGTATCACTACATGTGAGAGTTAAGAAATAATATATATATATATATTCTTGACTATAATTGGTTATATAATTGAGATTTAAATTGTTGGATACTAAGATCAAGAACGAGTCGTGTCCGATCATGTGACTAACGGCCAATCAAAGTGTTCTTCCCAGTGAGAAAAAGTAAAAAACGCAAACTATCTAAATTAATGTCGAAGCATTAATAAATAATGTCAAGGAGACGATTTACTTATAGTACTTGCCTTGACCCTAAACTCAAATTATTCAAAAGCTACTTTTAATTAAATAACTAAAATCATATGACTGGACACGGCTTTAGGCTTCCTCCAAAAAAGTCTTGTTCAAGACTGAGTACGAACTCGTCCCTTGTGGACTACTTCTACTTGAGGAAGATAGTACAGTGTATAACAGTATATGAGATATTCATTCAAATACAAAATATTCATCAATGTTATAAATACACGCATTCGCCACTATTTGCTTATTTACATACGACTTTAAACCGCCTAAATCATAACTTTATAATGCAAAAAATTAGTAATTATGCATTATACACATATCTGATCTTGTTAAATTATATAGAAAAGCCGTTAATTTGGCTTAGCTGTCGACTTACGGCTCAGCTGAGCCGTTGGCATCTCTCTATATTCGGATAGGGCAGAGTATAGTTAATATCCAACTTTTTTGAAAGTAATTTTTTTCGATTTCACGTCACACCTGATCTTAGGAGGTTAGGTTACAATAACAAAGGTACAAAAAATCCTCAATGGTAAACCAATTCTTATTGTCACATAATTTGCCATATCAGATATAAAAAGGCTTTTAAAAACTAAATAAAAGTTTGTGTAACGATCTACATTACGGATGAAAAACTATCAGCTGAACAGAAAGGACCGTGGATATGTGCATATATGCATTAGATAATAACGCATTAATTTTAACAATGTCAAATCCTTTTAACAATGTCATTTTTAACAATGACTTTCTACTGCTGTACTGAATATAATTGATTCAAACTTAAACAAAATTTTTGATAGCTGCTTTAAGGTTCTACAATAATTAAGGATCAAAATTAATTCATATTGTATAATCATTTGATAATTAACAATGATTAATCAAACCAGTAAAAAATCGAGGCATTTTTTTAAGCCAGAAAAATATATGATTATTTTGGGCTTTTAGTTATAATGTAAATTAATGACATATGAGACACAAATAAATGTGTGTATAATACATATCAATAAGCATGAATAGAGTACTTCATAAATAACGAATAAATATCTTTAACGAGAAAGAAATAAGGTATAAAATACAGTACTTATAAATTAGTAAAATAAATGGACTATTTTACTGCAACAGCACCGTTCATATAATTAGAACATCTTTCGTTCATCGTATCGTATGGAAGTAATCGAAAAAATATATATAATTATAGTGACAATTAAACCCATTAAAATAGAAAAAAAACTTAATAGTATTATACGATCAAAAATATAAATTACAATGAAATTAAATAATAAAGGGTTTAATATATACAAGATAAACTTATCCCAATTTTTATGTGTCCCAACAGTCACCTTAATAACATTATAGCCAAGATGCATCATAATCTCGTTTCTCATCAATAGTCAACTCTGGATTCGCAGGCGATTCCGGATTATCAGATGGTATTTCAACTTTTGATAGATTAGCTTCTGTGGCTAAAAGTAACGTCTTTCTTTGAATATTAACTGCAAAATCCAAATCTGTGTCGTTAAGTTGAGAATTTTGTAATATTTCATCTGGTTTATCATCATCATCATCTTCGTAAGGTTCATCAAATTGTTTTGCTGATTCCAATATTTGATGATATCCAGGTTCATCATTATAATCATCTTCATTAATCTCTTCGTTAATCTCTTCAGTATGTATATTTTCAATAATAGGTGGTAAAACTTTGGTTAAAGGTGTATTGGAGTCCGAAAGAGGGTCAGATGGTGGGCTATTAACTTCAAGAGATTCATCCAAAGCAAGTGAAGAAACAGGGCTATATACGATTTCAGATCGATAATTATCATCATTTTCAACTGAACCTTCATTACTAATATTACTATTGGATCTATTAGATTTATTGGTTCTCGCACAAATTTTTTGAGAAACATCACGGAAATTCAATTTTCGTGAAAATATCTTGATGTCACCTCCACCAGGAGTATGTTGAATGTTATCAAGAGAACCAATTTTAGATTTAATAGCTGACAATGGCACCTTTGGAGCTATTTTAAGTGGAACATATTTTTCTCCACCGCCAGGAACATGATCAATATTATCTAGAGAACCGACACGTGGTTGCACGTGATTGAAACTTGGTTTTTCAGAAAATATTTTAACGTTGCCACCTAATAAATTTAAATTGTTTAGTGAAAAATGCATCAATTTCAAAGAAAACTTTTTTAAGTTAAAATTTTTCTTCACCTTTTGGTGTATGATTTATGTTATCTAACGATCCAACTCGTGAATGAACTTTAGTAAAATCTACTTTGACTGATGTAATTTTCTTATCTCCACCTTGTGGTGTATGATTAATGTTATCTAATGATCCAACTCGAGGAGAAACATTGGAGAAGTCGTATTTAATCGATTCAATTTTCTTATCTCCACCTTGTGGTGTATGATTAATGTTATCTAATGAACCGACTCGTGGACTTACTTCGGAAAAATCGATTTTAACTGTTTGAATTTTCTTATTACCTCCTTTCGGAATATGGTTAATGTTATCTAATGAGCCAACTCGTGGACTTACTTCGGAAAAATCGATTTTAACTGTTTGAATTTTCTTGTCACCTCCTTTAGGAATATGGTCAATATTTTCTAATGAACCTATTCTTGAACCAATTTTGGATAAGTTTGGTCTTTCTGAAAAGATTTTTATTTCACTTGGTTTTGGTATGTATTTTGCGTTATCCAATGAACCTACACGTGGTCTGACATTAGAAAAGTCTAGTTTCTCTGTTGGAATTATGTGGGGTGAAATTTTTGATTTTTTTCCACCACTACTATTACTACTTGTTTGTGATAAAGTATCACTATTCTGAGAATTTAATTCTTTAAAACTTTGTGAACGTGTTAATCGTTGTCGTGGTTTTTTCGGAGAGTCATCCGTAGGTGAATATTTGATAGTGTTGGTTTTAATGGTTGGAATAGTTGGTATCGATGATTTTTTAAAAATTTTACTTTCACCGACATTACTATTAATTAATAATTGTTTATCATTATTATTATTGATTTTTGATAAATTATTTGGTTGTATGCTCAATGACTTTTTTAAAGTGGGAAGTTGAGAAGCAGCCGGACTTGTCATTGCTGCCATCGTTTATTATTATTATTATTATTATATTTTTAATAGGTTTTTGAAAATGGTTATCATAAGAAATTGAAACATCCAAAAATTTATATTAAAGAGTACGAAGAAATAAATTGGTCGGATGCATTCGTTAAATAAAGAACGTATATAACAAAGACCTTTTTGTTTTTTTTTAAAAAAAACTTTGAAGACAAAAAGCGTAAGCCAAGCAGTATTCACCATAAATTGTCAAGGACAGCATACAAAAAAAGAAAAGTCTGATAAAACTTGTTACTTTGTTTGATGAGTACGATTTTTTTTGTGCTTGTGTAATCTATCTGATTTAAGTAATTAAGAGTGGCGATTGTTCAAGCACACATGGTACAAATGGTATAAATGTAAAGTTGAAACAATAAATAATTTAAACAAGAATAAAGTTCGTGAAATTTAGTTAGTTGCGGAAGCATTCATGAAAATTAATAAGGCTGATAGCTTAATGATAGCTTTATCGTTATTGTTTTGTTGGTTTCAGTTTAATATTAAAAAATTAATTAAATATTAAAAAATTAATACTTTAATTAATTATAATTGATATCGATGTACGGAAGCACTGGTCCAGAATCTAGTCAGATCCAATAAAATTTTACAGATTTAGCTTGAAATTAAACCCAACATGAGATGATCATCATGTCGTGTCATATGATCGATCTTCAATCCTACGATTACAGGATTAGGTTCAAGTCCCCAACGCCAGAATCACTAAGGCTCTGAATCAGACAAGAATTTCAACAGGATATGTTTGTCCCGCCAAGTTTATTATTTATACAACCACAGTTGCACACGTTTTTGATGTAAATTCCTTAGTGCATTCAATGATTTTTCTACCTTGATATTCCTTAGCTTTATGAATTAGAAACATGTTAAATATATAATGGGAACACGTCAACATCATCCTTGCAGTTTTTGATCCGATTTTTCTTTTTTTTTTGACCATTTCAGAAGTTTCAAATGTCGGGATTAATATACTTTCATAATTATCATGAAGCCATTTTACAAGCTTATGGTGAATCTCATCAATCAGATTTTTGATTTTTATATGAGTTCTAGCCTTTTTGTTTTTTTTTTTTGCTCAAATTAAATTTTTTTTTCTTATTATTTCTTCCTTCCGAAATGCTCAAATCACCTTGCATTTTATCTTACTTTTTGCGCAAACGATATATACGATTAATATTACCCTTTCCCCATTCAACTATTTTTCCAGAAGGGTCATAGCCCGTTATAAAAATTTTCACACCTAGATCCAATGCTATGATTACTATTAATGTTGACTTGGTTCTCGCGTTCATCGAGTGATAATGGCACATGCAAATCGAATCTAGTTTTGTCTAAAGTTATTACAACGGTATGTTCAATTTTTGGAATCGTTTGTGATGCAACAATGCTTTTCAAGAATGCACAACAACAATTTTTATAATTCCAATTAGGGCTGTAAACCAAACTATTTGGGACGACTAGTGTTTCGGGCGAAACTATTTTCAAAATCCGAAATATTTCGGCAGAATGAAATAGTTTCGCCCCCGGCGAAACATTTCGAATCCTCCTGAAGCACTATAGGTCAGGTGAACCTCAATTAGGTTCAAGTGAGCCAAATTCAGGTCCAAATAGTCTCAAATTTGATTCAACTGTTTCGGGCGAAACTACTATTCAAAATCCGAAACATTTCGCCAGAGCCAAAATAATTTCGCCCTGGCGAAAATTTCGGTTTCGCCCGAAACACTAGGGACGACCCAAACTATGTGACAATTAGTTTCACATGGTTTTGACAACAAGTAAATACCTATTGTGATAATAATTGTCACTGGTTTGGGCCGTCCCAAATAGTTTGGTTTACAGCCCTAATTCCAATCTCTTTTGATACCAAAATCATTTTGTAACCTATTCTTCTTGCTTCTAAATTTTAGGTTTATTCCGTGCTTTCTCTTTACATGTTTTGTAAGTGAATTAAAGTACTGTCTAATTGCAGTTGATCTAATATCTCTAGGAGTTTTCAAAAGCCACGAGAGTTCTGAATATGATTTCACATAAGCATTGTTAAGATAATTGTGTCTAATAGTTTTAAAATTCTTTATATCGTCATTTTGATGCATTTCAAAGAGTTCGATTATACGTTCACCTTATCGCACCCATCCATTCTCGCAACGTTCTTGCTTCTTCTAAGGTAGGATAAAATTGAATTTTTTTTTGTTTTTAATTGTATATCTTCATACTCATCATAATAATTATAATCGTTGATCAAATATTATAAATTTACGATTTTTTTTCCTGACTTAAAATATTGAACCAGTTGCGAGTTCATTTATTTAGTGATTATTTCTCTTAACAATGTTAATATTATTTTGTATACAGTAGGTAACCATAATGTTTTAGATATCTG